GAATGCCTCACAAAAGTTTGTGCACGACCCATTTCGAAGTATTTCCCCAAATGCTTGCTTTAGCATTTCATAGGTTTCCGTAGCGGTTTTGGCGAGTCTTTGGCAAAATTTGATTTGTTCATGAAAATCCGCCATTCCGAAATCGCAGGAGGGTCGGTGTAATGCACTACCAAAACGCCCGTAACTAAGAAACAAATGCTAATTCGATGATGCCGGCTGGCACACTGATTCACTATGAATGTAGGCCGCACCCCCTAAAGGCAGAAGCTCGTACTACATCCGGTTCGCCCTCTATTGACACAGTCTTGAAACGTTCCGATCGCACCTCGTATATTACATATCATATTAGTATTATCACTGTAAATTAAATTTAACTGGATTGCTATATTATAGGAAGCTATGCATTGTTCTGAGAATTTTATTAAAATGGACCTTAGAGAATAATTAACTGGGAAAAATAATGAAAAAGACAGTTATTGATTATGCATGTTCTTGGAGGGCCCGTAAAAGTCACTAACAAGTTAGGAAGCGAACACGTACCATAAAAATTGTGGCTCTGTTATTGATTCCGGAAGATTTTTAGAACAACGTGTGGTATGTGTTCCATAAACTAGGCTTTCCCTCGTACACGAACTCACCTTGATGGGTTTCCCGTCGTGTGTCCGATGCCTCGAACAAGTTTCAATCATCTTGAGCGCCATCCACGCGCTCTGTTGAGCGTGTGTTGAACTCTGTTTGTGCAGGCCACAAGCAACACAATATGCGTCTCCTATCGTCTCCACCTGCCACAACAGAAAAACAGCCACTCAGACTTATGCTGCGAGGGTAGAATATTTTATTTTGTTACAAACAAAAATGAGGCCAGGAGGAGAATAAACTTGTGAAATATTTATTAATCAATTCAAAAATTATTTAATTTCAAAACTCTAAATATTTATCGACTATGGTCGTCTGGATTGTAATTCCGCATTATCCTTTAGGTGACTACCGACGTTTCGGAAAAGCTTATTTCCCCCGTCTCCTCCGTGAAGAATGTGTGGGTATCTAAATGTTCTGTATTGAAGAAGTACAACATTTCTGAGGTTTGGAAAGCTAGCGCCTTCAAGATGGACAGTGTACTTAATCAACAGATCTACGAAGAACGCTAATTATTGTCACTGGATACTAAGAAGATCAGGGCTATCTTACATACTGTCCCACATCATCTAGTTCAAAACATAAGCGACGAAAATTATAATTTTCGTCGCTCCATGGTCGAACTAATACGCCGTGCTTCATCGGCAACTTCTCCGACTTACTTGTAACGCGGGAGCAGATCATTCAGGCGTTACAGCTTCCACCTTCTTCCATCAGGCCATATTTAGGATTGTTTTGCATGCTCAAATATAAAATTGATAATGCTTATATAGAAGTCCACCTGGACGTAAACACCACAGATACAGATTGCTTGTGGATTATACTACAACTAATAGTAACCTAGTACTTAAATTTTCTTATATATTAACATACACATTTCCTAAGTCTGGATAAGAGCCAGTATTTGTCATCACACCAATTTATTACACGGCTCTTAAAAAAGCATGATACGGCAACTTAATGAAAGTTACATATTTTATGGAATCCTATCACAATAGAGATTTTAAGGATATTAATTGATAGCGTCAACGTTTTCCCTGTACCAAGAGTTCGCATAGACACAATTTGATATTACTGATGAAATAAATATAAACAATTTCTTATTACTTAAATACGCTATATCAACTACAGAGGTTACATCACGTCGAATAAGAACTGTTGGAAAGTGTCTAAGAATCGGGAAGTAGGAGGCTGTGACCATACCGTCATACGCCTTGAGAGACTGAAAAACCCACAGAACCTAATTTAAGAAAACCTTGAAATACAAACCAAGAAATTTACTGTTATAGAGGTCCTATAGCGGTTTGTATATGGTTACGGGTGGCATGGGGAGAATACTAGAAGATTACCAAAAGACAGCCGTGAAAATAACGTGCAGCTGTCGAAGAATACTCTCGAGGGACGGGCAATAAATGCGCCTCTCCTGGACGCTTATGCGAACTATAAACGCACATAAAATGTTCGCTGCCATTTTATGTATGCGTACAGTTCTTTACAGTAAAGCATTTTGCTGGCCTAGATGTATGTTCATGTCTCGTCACTAAAACGTAGGACATGATCGTAAAAAATGTAAAAAAGTATTATGATACATGCTTCGAAGATTTATGGATTTCAAATGTTTGGAAATTTTTCGGACAGATGAAAATTACATTTACGACGAAATTTAGAGCGGGTAAAATTCTGGGAAAGTTTGCTGTTTCCTCAGCACACTGTTCACAGGCACGCTCGATCAGTGTTTGAGAACAAACTGCCGTCAGGAGCATTGTTTCCAATTCAATCATTTATAATAGTCTTGGCTTTCGATGCTAAATAACTTGTCCAGCTGATAAAGTGTCATTAAGTAACCCAAGACTATTTCTCACTCAAGTTTCTGTTATTTTCAAGACCCTCTGTTTGAAATTATTGAGTTTTCATCTAATTTAGAAGTATATATCAGAAAAAAATCTTACGGAGTGAAGTTGTAAATTAACTTAAGGCTGAGGTTCAAAATTTCTTACGGAAATTAACTTAAGGCTGAGGTTCAAAATTAAACTTTCCTTTTTGTCATTCACTCCTATTTCTTGTTGCTTATTTTCTCTTTCAGCACGATGTATGTTATCTTAAGAATATTACTTTCTAGCATCTTGTATACATGCTGTCTCCATATCAACGCGTAATTTGTTCGATTAGTCAGTAAAGTAACTGGGTACTGTCTGTATGGCCGTGTTCGATACCTGAGACACACAGAAACTTTTGTGTTTGGCGCAACTGAGTCCAAAATCTCTTCGACTGCCCACTCAGCTTCATATCAATTCATACCGATTAATGCATTCCTAGACATAAAGCAGCCGGAGCGTGAAGGTGATCACTCATTTTCGTGTTGTGTCGAGTTCCAAAATGCGCTGAGTTATATTTCCACATTCCCCATTAACAGTTATGGAATAATTCTTAGGCAGTGGCGAAACTTGTGTTTGTAATTTGGTCTTTACTTTAAAATATATTCAGTCTTATTTCAAAGAATTTCGTTAAGTCAGAAGTGTACCAGCTAAAATTGTAGTAATATTGCTCCTTCCTAATTTCAGCGTTTGCACTACAATCTTTCAGATTTATCTCAAGAATGAGTCCTTTTTATCGCTTATTTATTTTCAGAAAACATCTCAATATCTACTACGGAGTAATATACATGCGTTTTACAGATGTTTACACCTACCCAAAAACCGAATACATTTCTAAAGGCCGTCCCTCTCTGACCATTTTGAAAGGTGAATCATTTCAGATGTGGTATCACCTTTCAGACGAGGCATCAGAATTCACATTCTCACCCCAGTCTCGTGGCGCAAGCTCCCGCGTTTTCCCAGTTAAAAATGTAGCATTTCGCAAAACACAGCACGCAGCATCCTCTCATGGGACAGACGTGGAGACGCGCAGTGGACTAAGAATGTACGTATGTATATTCCATGAGCATTCAGAGTCATCTTTCAATAAAAGAGGCTGGCGAAATATTAGTATTATCAAGAGGCATTCTGTATCACATTACGAAACTTTGTTCACATCTCAAAGAGAACAGACCAGTTTCTTGCTATGAAGTTCTCTCTCCCTCGCGAAGTGAAAATTATAGGTTAGGTTGGGTTGAGTTAGGTTAGGTTAGCGGATGCCGGTTACAATTTTTGAGGCTCTTCTCTATTTCTTTCGATCCCCCAAGCACATTATAGAATTATTTTTATTATAATATTATTTTATTTAGTGTTCTGTCTGACGACAGGTCCATATGAACAGGATCCTTCCATCCTTTTCTCGGACTGGGACCTGTTCATATACGTTCTTGGCAGATGATCCAGAAGTGGTTTGCCATTCCCTTCTTCTGTGTGTGAATGGAGTAATTGTTGGGATGCCACGGAGAAACCGGGGAAGAAGCCCCCGGAGGAAAACTCCGGGTTGCCTAGACCACGGCCTTGCCCAACACAAGTTATAAATGCGAACCCGAGACCCCAGGATTACAAGGCCAGCGTTCTAACCGCTACACCACCTCATCTTATTATTATTTAGTGTTCTGGCTGACGACAGGTCCATATGAACAGAATCCTTCCATCCTTTTCTCGGACTGGGACCTGTTCATATACGTTCTTGGCAGATGATCCAGAAGTGGTTTGCCGTTGCCTTCTTCTGTGTGTGAATGGAGTAATTGTTGGGATGCCACGGAGAAACCGGGGAAGCCCCCGGAGGAAAACTCCGTGTTGCCTAGACCACGGCCTTGCCCAACACAAGTTATAAATTCGGGCACCGCCGGGAATCGAACCCGAGACCCCAGGATTACAAGGCCAGCGTACATTGTAAGACGTATGCGAAAAAGTATTAAATAAAGTAAGAAATAAATGAAAGCAAAAATAATGATAAAAAGTTTAAATTAACATGCGTCAGTGTGTGTGTGATTCGGCGTGTTTATTTCTCATTAATAACGTACGAAACAAGTGATGGTTTTTATGAGCGTTGTGCGATTTGTGTCATATACTTCCTTGTTATTAAAAATAAATCAATATGGTAGCAGAGTGCAGTTCCTTTTGATTTAGGAATCTAAGATTTTATGAGGCGGTGGACATTAAAATACCCCTGTACGTTTTTAAAAGTACTTTGTGTGTGTCTGTGGAAAATGGTAGAACGGCCGGATCGTGAGGCAAACAGCTCACCTCAGTTTAGTGTCGAGGTTAAGAATACGTGGAGATATATTTCTACCTAGCTTTATATCTTTGTTGTTGATCATTAATTAAACGCAAGAAACATTTTAGAGTGTAGGTTTAAAATTTACTTGGAAAATATTTTTATACTGACTTTCTTTGAATTTCTGTGCTAGTCAAATTAGGCCTACATGAGTTCTAAACATTGAAGATATTTTATTTCTTCATAAAGTTTTACGATACGAATTTTAGAACCACTGTTACTTATTATGATGAAGTTATTGAATATAAGAAAGTTCAAAAGCTTTTAACTTCTGTTAATGTTGATAGTTCTTATTCAGACTCTCACCGAATGTCTCTTTAGAGTTCTAAACTCTTTCCTCTCGATCCAAGACGTTCTTCATATTGATGAACTTGTAATATCCATTAGAGGCGTTATTGAAATGCGTGGATAGAAAATTTACATAGCGAAAGGAACCTGACTCGAATTCAGAAAACATTCAAAGTTACGGAGGGACTGCTTTTTTTATATTCAACTCACAAAACGAAATCAAAAAAGAACTTTTAATCTCGTTTTGGACAAAACATATCTTTAATGAGAAACATGTTTCAGTATTCTGATACACACTTTTCTAAGTCTGCTTAACAATGGATTTTTACACTCTCGTACTAATACTACAGCTGAAGTTCAGTTCATGTACGAGAGAGCAACTCAGCACCTTTCTCGCAAGAATTGTCCAGATGAAGGAAGGAGACGTGAAATAAGATATCATATTTTAAAATGAATTGAAATTACATGATTTATAACATAACCAGACAAGACTTGTAATTGACAACCATAAAAATATGTTATGACGTCTTTTGTGACTAGTAAATGGAATTATGTCGTCTCCCAATATTTATATTAGGTTTTCTGAAGATAAGAAGCAGAAGAGTGACAGTGGTTCCGACAGGCTTCAAGCAGAGTGGGCACTGAATTGCATACTGAAAATATT